TGGGAATCCTTCCCAGGTATTCGAGAGACTAGGAGTGGAAGAACTGCTTCAGCGACCAAGAAGCAGCCTACCCAAGCTAAGGTGTGAGGTAATCGTGCCGATGGCTGTATGACCACAGGGTTTTGTGTGGTCGTGAACGATCCCCTGGGGAACCAGGCAAACCCCACTGTATTAAGCCTTCCCCTGGTAATGCGGGGCTCTGCCAGGGGCGACCCACCTTTCCCTAGCTACTCGTGGGAACAACATGAATTCTCAAAACCAAATTTCGAGGTTGGACCAAAACAACATTCACCTCAATTTGAAGCCGCAGATAAGGATGGACAGCAATGTTCACCTCTAATCTCGGCCCAACCGGAGGCCAACTCCCATGGAGCAGTTTTACACCTCAGACGTAACTACGGTTAAAGTGAAGTGCCCATGGGGAAAGGGCAAAAATAGAGAGTTAATACTAGCATCAGTCTACCTACCCTCAGATGCACCCACCCTACCACCAACAAGGGAAATGGAAGATCTGGTAGACCATTGTCTCAGTCAGAAGGTAGAACTTATTATCGCTGCGATTCGAACTCTCACCACTTAGGCTGGGGCAGCAGAGACAACAACGCTCGAGGTAAGTCCCTTTATGACTATATTATTATAAAAGATTTGTATATCTTAAATAAGGGCACCGAACCTACCTTTATTAATGTTCGTAGCCAAACAGTCATAGATATCACGCTGGCAACAGCTGAAATATCGAATAAGATTCAGAACTGGCAGGTATCGGATAATGTTTCTATGTCTGACCACCGCTGGCTAACCTATAATATTAGTCTGGAAAAAAGCCTTATCAAATCACGCGACCCTAGGAGGACGGATGTAGAACTCTACAACCGACTCTTAGAAGATGCTCTGCGGAATGAAAAGGCTTCAACTCAAGGAACTAATATAGAATTGGAAAGGTATACGGTATCTATCCAAAACAAAATAAGCTATGCTTATAAAAAATCCTGTCCAATAAAGATGGTCCAGGAAAGTCGCAAAACCAACTCTTGGTGGTGCACTGAATTGGAACACCTTAGAAAGATAGCAAGAACAGCTTTTAATAGAGCGAAACGCAACAAACTCAAAGAGGATTGGGATTCTTATCAATCAAATCTCAGAGAGTTTAAAAAAGTCTGCAGACAAAGAGCTGCTTGGAGAACCTTCTGTGAGGAAATCGAAGATTTCCCGCAGGCTTCCAGGCTACAAAAAGCGCTCTCAAAGGACCCACATCGGCATGTTGGCATACTAACGAAGGAAGATGGGAACAAAACTTCTAACCTTCGCGAAAGTGCTGAGGTCCTGATGAAAACACACTTTCCCGGTTCTAGTGTCTCAACAGCACCAAACCGGATGGAAGAAACAATCATACCCTTAACAAACGACTAGCATCTCGCCAGAACAATGATTGATGAGGAAAAGGTAAAATGGGCCATATCGTTCATCACCCCTTTCAAATCACCAGGGCCTGACGGCATATATCCAGCCCTACTACGGTGGGGACTGGATATCGTTCTGCCACACCTCGTGGAAATATTCAGAGCCTCTTAGGTTCTGAGATATATTCCTAGGAAGTGGAGAGAGGTACGTGTGGTCTTCATACCAAAACCAGGTAGGCTGGACTACACCCTACCAAAGGCTTTCCGACCAATTAGCTTAACATCCTTTCTGTTGAAAACGATCGAGAGGCTATGAGAGAGGTACATAAGGGATGAAGTTCTGCTCCATAACCCACTTCACCCAAATCAACATGCATATACTTCGGGAAGATCTACCGATTCTGCACTGCATCATATAGTGGGAAGAATTGAAAGATCTCTGGATAATAAAGAATCCATCCTAGGTATATTCATAGATATTGAGGAAGCGTTTGATAAAACCACATTCCTAACAGCTCAACGTCAGGAATGTTCCCCTGGCCATAAGCAAATGGATATTTAGTATGCTCTCTAGTAGAGCAATAAGCATAAATGTAGAAGACGTTTCTGTTAGAGGCATGGTTACGAGGGGGTGTCCACAGGGAGGGGTGCTATCACCACTACTATGGAACATAGTTCTAGACACCCTGGTTGACCAACTCAACAGCAACGGTTTCTACACAATAGCCTATGCAGACGATATTGCTGTCCTGCAAAGCGGTAAGTTTGAGAACACACTATGTGAGAGATCACAAGTTGCTCTTCGACTAATAGAAACATTGTGCAAGGAACACTCACTATCTATAAATCCTAAGAAAACAGAGATGGTCCTCTTTACCTGGAAAAGAAGAATCACGGGCTTAATACCCCCAAGGATTCTAAACTACAGTCTAAATTTTTCTGACGAGGTGAAGTACCTTGGTATTACCCTTGACAGGAAGTTAACATGGGACTCACACTTAGATGGTAGAGCTAAAAGAGCATATATTGCCTATGAACAGTGTCGACGAACGGTCGAACGCACCTGGGGCCTCACGCCCAGGGTGATCGCCTGGGTCTACACCGCTGTGCATAAATATAACAGGTGCCATGAAAACAACACCAACTGCTACAATGGAGTTGATCATTGGCATCACGCCTCTAGATATATATGTCAAAGAGGTGGCTCTAGTGACAATGATGCGACTGCGCTCAGCTGGTGCAAACCTTGATGTAGGAATGGGACAATTGAGAACTCGTTTCTGGCGGGGAGAGCTGGATGCGTTACCAGTACTACAGGCAGGCTGCGACTCAATAGAACCAAAGTTTGTCTTTAACAAACCCTACAAAATTGAAATAAGACAGTGTATGGAGACAAACGTGGCAAATGCCTATTGCATATACACCGATTGCTCCAAAATGAAAGAAGGCTCAGGATGCGGGATATACTCCAGATCACTGAACCTAAGAATAAAGTGGAGTATGGGCAAAATGCCAGTGTAGTTCAGACAGAACTGACTGGTATCTCCATAGCCGCAAAAGAGATAACCCAAAAAGGTATAGCAGGGAAAACTATAATGATCTGCACAGATAGCAGACAAGCGCTACTAACCTTGAATAAACCACGTGTTACATCAGGTTTAGTAATGGAGTGTCACGAGTCACTAACTCAAGCTTCGGATGGTAATACCATCATCCTAAAGTGGGTTAAAGGACACAATAGGAATAAAGGCAACCGCATTGCTGACCAATTATCTAGGAAGGCGGCAGGCCTAAGACTCTTAGGACCTGGGGATCTTTTTGGTTAGTCAACTACAACAATCGCGGAAATTGTCAAATGTCACTCCCATACGCAAACCGTAAAAAGATGGGAAGAAGGGAAAGGATGTAAACTTGCCAGGGTAATGCTAAGTAACCTTGAAGAGTCAACATCAAAGAAGTACTTGGGAATGACCAGGAAAAATCTACGTTTGGCAGTTTGTTTTTTAACTGGTCATTGTCAACTAAGCAAACACCACCACACACTGGGGCTAGTAGACACATCTCTATGTAGGAAGTGTAAACTAGAAGACGAAACTGTAGAGCATGTCCTTTGTGAATGCTCAGAGTTATCGTTAATACGAGAGTACGCGTTCAGCGTGTCCTGGCCCACACCTGCCCACATAAGTGAGATGTCTCCTGGTGACTTGTCCACCTTCCTAGAAATGGCAGGATGGACAATGAGCTAAGGGTGACAGCTCCCTGGGAGGATGTACAATGGGTCAATTGTGGCCTAAGTGCTGTGAAACTTAACTCGCCCTCCCTACTCTACAGAAACAGAAGCTCCCGATTTCCCAATTCTTTCCCGGGTTTGCAAATAAGTAAGAGGTTTGCCCTTTTCCACGCTTTTGGGCATTTTTACTTTCTCAGGTGGTCATTCACGATTACTTTCACTTTCACCCATTGTCGGGTTCAGGTGCTTTCTCGGCCTTCAGTGTTTTTCCCACCTCCATAAGCTCCTCTGTAGAGAAATCTGCTGTCGGCGTTTCTACGTGCAAAGGTGTGAATTTCTTTATCTCTGTCTGTGGGAAAAACTCTTGTGCCAACTTTCTCCTGCATTCTTTGATTTTGAGGATATTACTTCCTTTGAGATTTGCGGTAATATCATGTAAGCGTCACCCCAGATGTCATTTTCGAGGTTATCGCACATTTCTGTCCAGCAACTTTTCTTTACATTGTTTATTTTCTTTGTCAGTTCTTTCTTTAAAGATTTTAATGGCTCTGCCTCTTTCTCCACCAGTTGGTTTTTCTTTTTATCTTGTTGGAGAACTATAATCTCCAACGAAATAATTATATATCAAAACAGACAATTCTATTCGAAACAAATAAAAATATTTTCGCGCCGGTTACATAACTAAATCCAGTGTGCATTATTTCTTAGAATGTTAGAGTCCGCCCATTTGACCCTTATGTTTAAGCACACTTCTCGCCTGGACGTCGCTACACTCTTACACGTTTATCTGAGCCCATAACACAAGACAAAATCTCGATTTATCAGAAAACAATGCACGACTCCAAGCCAAGTGTTCCCGTGCAAAATTCAACATGGCGATTAGGTGTTCACGGGAAAGCGATGGTCCAGTTATTCTAGTTCGAGAAGATAAACCAGCAGAATGAAATCGTTACCTAACTATCCATTCACTGAGGTTTACATTTCTCACTTCTTGCAGATGATTTCAAAGGGAAACAAACAATTGTGTCTTGGCGTGAACTAGGAAACCCGGACTAGGAAATAGGATAAGGGGCCCAAACGCTTATCGAAACAGCAGCAACAACAATTGTTTTCAAACAATCCATTGATAAACTATGTTACAACCAAAAATATTTAAAATGAATAATAATAACCTAATTTTATGCTTGGCTGTGTATTTATATTGTGTAAATTTTATTCCTTTCTAAACTCACCCAGAAGTCTCATGAGCCATTTGGCAACCATGCGACGTTATTATAGTGAGATGACTTTGACAGTTGTATATTAATTTTTGCAATGTAAACAGATTGAAGAATTAAACCGAACGAAGATTGAATTTAGGTTACAGAAAACCGAATTTTTCTAGATAATCAAACAACCAGGTGTGATATCCCCCTAAATATTGAAACCGAATGATACGATGAAAAGTAACAATGCTTGAAGGGCATAGTTTTTTTGAAAACGACAGTGATCTAGCCAAAACAAGTTTTTCGGTTTTTGTTACTATTTTGTATATAAAAGTGCTCTACATTTTAGTCATGATTTTATATGTCTTGTCACGGTTCAATGAAATCGTCTCGTTGAGTTGAACTATTAATGATGCTTACTTTCTCTGAGGTAAGTGTTATAAATCTTTGAATTTACTATACAAAAATCCTGTATAGGGATTAGATAGAGATTCCTGAATAGCATATAAGGATGCAAGCTTCACCAACTTGAAATGTATAAAATTTATGGATCCCAGTTCAATTAATGAACAATGCAAATTATTGGGTCATCAACTTCAGTGGTTTTTGGATGTAATAAAGTTCATTATTTTGTATCATAGGGTTGTCACAAATTTAGGAAACTTACAGTTCGTTCTTGCACTCTTGCCCGACTTTCAACATATTAAACCATAAACATTATAGAACCAATTCTGTGAAATCAAATGCTAATGTATAGCTCAATTAAGAAGTTCTATGTGAGGATGTTTTCCTCAAAAGAGCAAGAGAAAAGGAGGACAATTAAGATAATAAACATTCCAGGAGACCTTTCAATGATTGTCATAAGCTACAAATGAAAAAGGCGAAAATGAAAAAGAGGAGTGATTCATGTACAGTAATTCAGATATTATATGTAATGCAAAGTGAAACAGTTTTCTTACTGTTGACTAAATGCTTATGGTTCGCTTTATGGTTCTCTGTTTTGTTAATGCTTAATTTAACCTATTCATGACATCCTGGAACAGGTCCCTAGTGCTAGTGATTACCAATCTTTAGTCTCAGTACATATTACCAGTATGTACCTAGGTATGTTGGATGGTGTGGATGCTACCTCATGGTTATCCAATCTGGTAAATATAAATCACAATTATAATGCAGTGAATCGAAACAAAACCAAGAATTGAAACAAGGTTGTAGTATGTCACCAACACTTTTTAATATACAGTAGTCTCTCTTTATAACGATTCCCTATATAACGATAATTCCACTATAACGATGAAAATAGTAAACTTTGGTTGGTTCATCATAAGAACAATGTATTAATTCTTTCTCTATATCGATATCGTTCTCTCTTTATAGCGATGACTTTTCAGCGTTCAATAGTCAATTATAAATATATTATTGTGTTTAAAGTTCAGACTATCTGAGTTAGAAATGGCAAGGTCATTGTCCAGTGGTTGATTGATCGGGCGGCATGTCTAACTGTTATCACACAGATGTTGTCATCTATTGAAGACTTTTCATTTCCAGTTTGAGTTGTGTCTCAGTGTGTCAACAGTCAATATGTTTTTAAAAAAGCGCTCTCGGTGGAGGAAAAGTTATCGATAACTCAAGCAATACAGAAAGGTTAAAAGCAATCGGATGTTGTTCGCCGTACGGGGCTGTCTCAGTCAACTGTGGCTACTCAACTGAGCTTGGAATTGAGGATGTTACGGCATCTGAGGGTTGGCTGAGCAAGTGGAAGTTGCGGCACAAGATCAACTACGGTCAAATCAGCGAAGAGGCTCGCGATGTTAACAAAAACGTAATGGACGATTGGCTAGAAATCGTGTGGTCTGGACTGAAGGTACGATATGCGTCAGATGACATTTTCAATGCTGATGAGACTGGACTGTTTTTAAAATGACACAAAACAAAACTTCAAAATTTAAATCGGAAAACTGTGTTGGTGGAAAGCTCTCTAAGGAACGCATTACAGTTTTAGTGGCTGCTAACATGACAGGTTCGGTGAAGCGAAAATTGTGAGTGATAGGGAAGTCGAAAAACCCACTTTGCTTTAAAAATATAAAAAATCTACCGGTGACCTATAAAGCAAAAAACATTGCATGAATGACTTCGGAAATTTTTGCAGAAGCGATAAGAAAGTGGGATATCGAGCTAAAAGGGAAAAAAATTCTTATGCTTGTATACAATTATCCTGCTCATCCTTTACTGTGCGATCTTCAAAACATTAAACTTTGTTTTCTGCTAGCAAACACAACGAGTGTCCTTTAGCCCATGGAATAAAGTGTCATCAAGAGTTTAAAAATCAAACATACAGGATGGCTGGAAAATGAAGTATTGACTAATGATGAAGATGACCTGCCATTAGATGTTTGAGCCAGACAGTTTGAACTTACTATCACACAAACAGACCAAGGTGATAGACTTTTTTATACTGTATTTCTTATACTATTCTTTAATAAATCTATGTGGTGTACAATACAGTGTTAATTCATTTATATTCGTTTTGATACATTTTTTAAATTAAAATAGGTTATTTATTACAGTATTATTAATATTACAGTACCGAATTTTGTCTCTCTCTATATAACAATCTCTCCTTATAATGATGAGAATTCCCGGTCCCTTGCATATTGTTATAGAGAGAGAAGACTGTATATTAACAGCATAAAATAATATGGGCAGGTATACAAATAATTTAACATACACAAACAAAAACATTCAGGATGTGACCTGACCTAAACATGGACAATACCATATCATCTACCAACCCTATTGTAAATAAATCTCCAACCCTAAATCCTTATAGAATATTGATCCATCCAAAGAAAAACAATTCATTTTGCTAATTACCACCTGATAATCCAAAATTGTGAAGGTTGGCTGCAAAAAGCCATGAAAATATCAACAAAAATATGAAAGTCATGGCATTTGAAAGTTTTTTAAATAATAAAATTCTTATTTTGCAAATTTTGATAGCAATTAAGATTTAACAATATCTAAATGTTACAGAATGGTGGCATGTATATAAATATTCATTTTATGTAATACTTACATTTTTAGTTGTTCTGTGCTCATGAACAATACTCATTACTACATTAATTTTACTTTTAGCCTGAAAAACAATCTTGGGTGTTATCTAGAGGAGAAAAAGTTGTATCTATAAGTAAAGATGTGGCTAGTAAATTAAAGAGTCAGGACATACTTGCCATAAACTTCTTATTTCAGAATTTTAAAAATGAGGTAAGTATAGTCACTAAACTCAGATTGAGAATATTTTGAGTCATTTTTGGAAATAACACAAAAATTTTGTTTTTTTTTTTGCTGTAATTCAAATTGTCAAATTGCATGTGTATTTTTTTACTGTAAGTTACAATTAACATTGGCTATGAGCATGTGTACTTGGTTGTATAATACAGTGTCTTCCAACAAAAAACATAATTTAAGGAGGCCATGGAATTAGTGATGGGAAGACCTGGTTCGTTTCAGTGACCCAGATTTTCTAGGTCATTCATTAAAATGATCCGTTCATATGAACGACTAATTAAATTTGTTGTGTAAAGGTCAAGTGTGTAGAGTTTAATATTGATATGTTTATGAATCTTTCCGAGAGTATATGAATGCAGGACCCATTCAAAGAGACCTGTTCATTAAAATGACTTTAATTATATTGTTGTTAACTGTAGAACTCAATATTGTTACCATAAATTTAAGAATGAAATATAGTTTAAGGCTGACATTAAGATTTGTATTTCTCAAATCATCTTCAGAAATCATTACAATACAAAAAAATACTTGAAAAAGTTGGTAAAATTACAAATTCCATATTGATATGTTCATGAATGAATGATAATGCAATAATTAAAATGGATTTTATTTCCTACAAATTTATAAACAGACTAGGGACTATTGCCGACAATTCGAATATATATAATTTTACAATTTTGCAGCATAAGGTTTTTGCCATTCTGAGAAACTGAGACAGCGTCATTCATACACATGATTCATAGGGTCATTCGAACGATAGGGTCCCAGAATGTGATTGTATCAATTACGGGTCTTCAAAAATACCAGATCTTTGTGTACGGATCGTTTGTGACTTCCTCATCACTAGATGGAATCACTTATTTCTATGTGACAGTAGTACTATAGTCACCATGTAGAATGACATGACATTTTTGTCATGCTTTTTCATGTTTTTTTCCAGTTTTATGAACAGGATAAGTCACAAGCGCCAAGTTTGATGAATATGTGGGCTAAGGCATAATGATGTTGCTGTTTTCAGATAAAAAACCACAAAGAAGAAGTAATGCTGTTTGGATTGGTGCATTATTGTGGTACCATTGAGCCAACTTACATGCTGATGTCCTCAGCAGATTCTTTAATATACATAGAAGATTTTCTATAACAATTTTTTCAACATTTTTATGAGTTACTGTTGTGGTGCTGTAGTATTCTGGGTGGGCATCATCTTCTAGACCTTTTGTGAAGAGTTGTACTATTTAAATTATACATATTTCAAGTGAAGCTTCTATACTGGCCTTGTATTACTTTTTCTCTACAGTAAAATGCTGAGACGAGCGCCACGGAAGTAGTACCACTACACAGCGTCATGGAAGTAGCGCCACAAAATAGCGTAATTTTTGGCGCTACTCTACTGCAGAATCACCTTGGTAAGGCACTTCCTTACGCTGTAAACAGTTGGAAGAGTCCATTTATGTGACGAGGAGAGTCCGTTATACAACATATAAACTTTTTGAATGTTTATCTATAAGAATCTATAATGATATTAACTAACAACAGTTTTATGTAATTCTTAAATATGTTTTTTTGTTTATTTGATTCATCTATAGATTCACCACAAAATTACTTTATTCAATTTTAAAAATATTTAAAATTTAAAAATTCAGAAAACCTAGTATGAAGCTTCGCACTAGCCTACAGCGCCGCCTACTGTATCACTATTTTTTTATTTAAAGTAGACTCCAAATACCATAACCAATGTTTTAAGCGCATAAAAGATGCAATCATTTGTTTTTCACAGAAATACAGACTCGGTGATACATTTTTTTTTTTGGTCACACAATATCCTTTATTTTATATATGTGAAATATGATAGTTCCAACAAAACATGTTGGTGAAATTTGTACTTACATAACAAAAAAAATGAAAATTGAATATAGCCTGGGAAATGTGAAAAGTCATGTTCTTTGTAGCAAACCTGGGAAGCAGATTATTTTCATACATTTATACAATCTATTACATATATTTTTTTTTATTAGTTTCAAGGATCCATTTTGAACGAAGAAGATGGATTTGCTACTCAACTTCAAGTATCTGTATTCTTTAACGTCATTTACAATCATTATATTAGCCCCAAAAATAAGTTTATTGTATTAGTCATTTCACCTGGATATTTAATGCAAAAATGGAATGACAGGCTTGAAAATTTTGGAGGACTGAAAGTTAGAATTGTCAATTCAAAAAGTAGGTACAATTAGTGGTTGTTAGTTTATCCCCCCAAAATTACCCGTATTTTTTATTTGTCATTCAAGATTAGCTGAAAAAAGCAACTGATTTCATTATGCTAAACTCAATTTCATATTTATAAAACCTATGTATCAACACACTCTAACATCCTCATTACACTACATACATTACTACAAGTGAATATTATAAAAATTGTGATTTATAATATTCACTTGTAGTAATGTAATCAGTACCACTACTGATATATACATATTTTAAAATATTTCTTTTAGCAAACCTAGCGGATTTTATGGAAGAAAATCGTTTGGCTCTCCTTGTTTCATTTGAAAATCTTAAACTGGTCGATAATTTGTTGGACTGCAACTTTTACTCAGTTGTTATCGACCATTTCGATGTTATCGCAAACAAATTGATTTTTAAAAGACTTAGCGGAGATTTTAATATTGGGATTACAAGGAGGAATTTTTATGTAAGTTTTTTTATTTGTAAGAGAGGCAGTTGAGGCGGGTGAATTTTGTTAAATAGAGAAACCTAGTAATTTACCAGTAAAAAATCTGTATTTTTAAAATATCTTTAACCACTTGGTTTTTTGTCTTTTTTTTATTTTTCTTTTTATGTTATCCTTTATGTGTCTTTATATTCGTTACACGGTTTTTCTTATTATCCTTCCTATTTAATATTCCTTTGAAATAGTTAGTTATGGCAACGGCGCTTCGAGCTGTCAAGAATTATAAAAATATTTTCATTTTAAATCATGGCCGACTATATTTGCAGATCGGAACATTGACTTTGATTTTAATATCGATAGACTGTGGGAAGTTTGTCAATAGGACTTTTCATCAAAAAATAGTGTCACCCATTTTTTTTTAAAAGATTTTTTGTAAATATGTTAGTTTAAATTAGTAATATAAACAAAGAAATCAAATAATTGGTTTAATATCTAATGAATAACAATAAAGTGTATGGCAACACATAATTTAAGGTAAAAAATGCCAAACAAAGTTTATTATTGAAAAAAAAAGTGCCTCAACGATTACTTTATGGAGTATGTAAGAGTGCTACACGTTATAAATCATTTAAAGACAAAGCATATAATTTTATAAACTTTCCAAAGTCTTTATAAACAATGTTATTTCTTATTATATTCTATTATAACTTTAGAAAACAATGCCAGTGGCCACAGTCCACCCAATCTCTTATGTTAGGGATCAGCATTTTCGTCCACTGTACCACATCCTCCGTGTTGTTCTATTCTTCTTGTAATCTTTCAATTGACCTTTCCATTTCCTGTCTTCTCTCGACCATAGTTAGGTTTGGGCCTCTTCTCTCATAGAGCTCTTTTCTTTCCACTGCCGAAACATGCAACGAAACACATCTAGTGATGGCCCACAAGGCTGCCACAGACACAGTCCTGTAGGCGCATGCCACTCGCAACAGACTTGTTCTGTCCACTCGTATCATGCGGCTCCTTCTTTCGGATTTGGGTTCCCCAATGAGAGATGGGTCCCCCAATGGAGAGGGTGATGTTGGGCATCACCCTTTTAAATACAGGCGCACTATTCGCAGTCATTCGGGCCACCTCCCGCACTTGCTCTCCACATTTTCCATTCTGGTGCAATGTCGCTCCTAGGTACTTTACGTGTTTCTTGGGTATTAGATATGCTCCCACACATTGTCATTCAACACTTTGCCTGTTCTTTTTCCCCTTTAGAATATTGGCTTCTGTTTTCTCTGTCGCAAGTTTCAGTCTGCGTCATCCATTTCTTTGAGATCTGGCTCATCCCGGGCCACTATCAGTATAGCGAGGTCATCCGCGAATGCGAAGGGGATTGTACCCTCTCCGTATTCACAGTTAATAACCCCGTCATATACCAGGTTCCATAGAATCTGGCCCAAGGATCCCTGGGGGATCCGCCGTCACGTCCACGATCGTGCCCTTTTCCATCATAATCATTCTCTCGGACAGATACTCCACGACCACATTCATTAGGTAACCAGGACATTCCCTCTTCTTCATTACCTCGTTTCACTGCAGCGTATTGAATGCATTCTTAACATCAAACAATAGCAGGACTGCCCAGCGATGTTAAGCTCTGTTAGCAATGCTTCGAGTACAGTCACGAAGCCTTCGTGACTCAGGTGGTATCTGATCCCGACTACGCGTATTGAGTGAACCCAATGTCTAGACAAGTCCATCCATGGTAAAAGGTACGGCACGCTCAGCTCACTCATCCCTCCATACACCATGCTATCTGCCGTCCGGAAAGAGCTCTCGTGTTACCTCAAGCTTCTTGTCCATAGGCATTTCCTAAGGAGGATAAGCATGGAACTTTTTCATGACGATCTTGTATTCCTAACCCCAGATGATCTCATCCAGCTTTTCACACAGCTCTTTCCAGTGCCTTCTTTTTTTCTGTACGGATTTTCCTGTAAAGTTACCTCTTCCTTGCGCGGTACTCCTCCTCGATCTCCTCAGGGTTGATCTCTGGTTTGCCCCTTGCCCTCGTTAACCTTCTTCTCATTGCTATACATTCGTTTCTTAGTGCCTCGATGTCCGTATTCCACCAGTATGGCATTCTTTTGACATCTTGGCGACCTATCTTGCTTCCTTTCATCTCTTCTTTAATGATTCTCTCCAGGTTTTCCACCGTCGGTGATTGACCCTGCATTATCCTCACTCTCCATTTAATCGGCTCCTCGTATACTTTTCAGCCATTCCCATCGCTGCATCCGCCAACCGACGTCTCGGACGCACCGACCGCGTTAGTGGTTCCCGTTCGGGTTATCGAGAACCCGATGTACCGATGTTCAATTCCGGTGTAGTCTGGCAAAACCTTCCAGCCTCTTGCTTTCGCCACTGTTTCTTGTGTCGTCATGGTCACGTCGATGTGCGTACCCGTACCTCTCCTAATAAACGTAGACTCCAGACCTGTGTTCAGGTCTGGAGTTCACTACGTCTAGAATACCCACCCAGGCAGTCAGTATCCTGCCGCGAGTTTCGGTGATGGGAGATCCCCACTCCGCTGCTTTTGCGTTAAAATTTCCCAGCACTACGTATTTTCCTCTTGTGTTTCCCACTTCCTGCATAATCTCGTCCATCTTCATCTCGTACTTGCCCACCGCCACGTTTGGAGAAATATAACAGCAGACCAGCCGCACCTCCTCCATCCGAACAATCACATATCATTCTTTCGGCTTAATTTAATACACTCGCAGCTTCCTATTGTAGATTCGTACAGAAGCCCTCCCGGTCGTATCTACAAACCATTCTCTTCTCCTCACCGCTGTTGGATTTGGTTCCTCCGTCACCAGTACATCGATGTTCTTTTCTACTGTGACAGCCTCGGCAAGATCATGTGCTAATCTTGCTGTTCCCACGTTAGTTTGGAGCACCCTCAGCTCTCGAGTCCTGATTCCTGTGTTTACCATGTCTCTTTTGTATTGTTTCTTCTCGCGTACTTTTCTTGGGACTAGTCCTCAGTGATTCCTATTTTCAACCAGTCGGTTGAACGTTGGGCATATTCTTGAAATTGCCACATGCCCAGTCACGTCGCAAGGATTCTACCCTTGATTCTATTACTAGGCAGGATGTGTAGTCTACTTTTATTCAATTCATTTTCAAGATATTTTCGGCCGCGTCTTCATCCGGCCATTTTTTCACTGGAAACCTATTATCAATGTGAGTGTGATTAACTGTTATGAAGGTAGTGATCCTACAGTGGAATCTTAGGATATAATGGCAGACTTAAAGTATAAAAAGTCTAAGCGAATGAGAGTTTAAATTTTATTTTTGGACATATTTTACATAATAAATCTAGCAAATATTTTTCACTCATATGCAAACAGATATATTATTTTGAATCGTTCAATTTGATCATTCAATGATTTATAAATGGAGTCAACTGAATTTAATGGTACTTACTATCCATCAAAATGGATAAATTTAGCATTATTTCAATCAATTACAAATAAGGAGACAGACAATATTATTTTGAATTGTTTAATTTTATTAATAAACAACTTATAACGGGATTTAACTGTATTAAATATCAATTATGTTGTAATATGTCAAAATAAGTTGCTATGGAGCAAAGCTGACAAATATCACAATGAATTGCAAACATATGCAAAAATTTTTTTTCAGTGACATTATTAATAGATCACAATGCTGTTTCAGAAAAACCCAGATCAAAAATTACAATGGACAATGCTTAATTGGGCAAATCCTGGCACAGCTGGTCGATTAATAGATTTTTGTCAGTAAGTAAATTTTATTCTTTTTCGGCCTTTCGCAGCTATTGGTTACATATAATACAGGCATTGTACATTTTAGGGCAGACAATGACAACTATGCTAACACCCGTGACAACTACCACTATTGGTGGCTCATCTTGACATGGGAATTCTGTGAAAACTTCCAACGAAATTCGGACGAAGAAGAAGACGCCTCACAGCTTTCCGAATTACCCAAAGCTGTTAAACGCACTTACAAGAGCAAAAAAAGAAAATTAGGAGAACAAATCGGCTCCAACGAAGAAGAATCCATCAGTGGCGGCCATTTTATGAAAAATCAAAAGAAAGAAGATATTAAATCCGATCATAAAGAAATGGTGCTCGAATCTACTCAGGAAACATTGGTAAATGAAAATCTTGATTTAAGCAGTAGTTCTGATGATACAGTTGAGTACAATTTAGAAGAAACAAACATCCAAGAACAAGCGCCGACAAATTCAATCGACAGTTCTCACACCACACTAGAATATAACAAAGAAGACATTTCTATTGCTGAAAAACCTTCTACTAACTACCAAGAGAACGACGTTCTTATGGATATCATTGAAGGTACTAGCAGAAGATCCTCTAAACTCTTAGATCGCGAATCGCAGTTACATTTGAAAAAAGAAGAGCTATATTCGCAGATTTTTGACAACAACGAGGAGCCAGAAGAGGTTAATAGCCAGGCCTCAGATTCTTCCGAATCATTTTTGTTATCGTTAATTTAAATCTAGGTCAAATATTTTAAGTTTTTAGAACATCTGTAGCTGTGTTTGTGTTTTGATGGGAATAGTTTTCACAGACTATGCATAACTTCAGTTTCTTGTAGAACAAAGAACAGTACAATATACAATAGGCAGCTAGATTGTTCTCTTGAAATGTCCAACAGACTTTTTTTAAATAATATTTGCCGTTAAATTATTCATTTATTTGCTAAAATCCATTGATAACCAATTGCAGTGTGATATTAATTTAAAAAGCTATATATGATATAGCTATTCGCAGAAATATACTAAAAATTAACAGTAGATGCTGTACATTTAAAAAATCAATTTTTTCTAAAATCAACACTTTAGGGATTACATTTTTCCAAACAGGTATTAATAAAAAGTGTTGCCAACTTCTGAACATAAAAAACAACTGATCTGGTTGTTCATCTTCTTTAAGTTTAATCTTCTATCGAAAGTTGGAAATCATCATGGCTATACGGACCGTGTTGACTGACGCTCTAAATAGTTCTGCACTACTACATTCAAACCATTCCCTGAAGTTCTTAAGCCACAATTTTCTTCGTCTTCCCACATTTCGCTTCATTTCCTATTATTATAAAGTCGATATTATTTCAGCTTCATTTCCTATTCTTCTAATAACTTCTGCGTTTGACATTATTTGAGTCCATGACATTCGTAGGATTCTTCTGTAACATCAAAATTCAAAGGCGGCCAACTTATTCAGATGCACTTTTTTTAATGCCTATAAACGTCAATTACATTGTCATCTGTCAAAATAAGTGTGATCTGTAGTAAATTTACTATTATTTCAGTCAGTGGCAAACAACACACATGCAATATTCTTTTTAATTGTTTAATTTCATTACTTAATAATTTATAACGGGATTTAACTGTATTCAAAGCCAATTACAATGTCATCTGTAAAAATAAGTTACTCAGGAGTAAGCTTAGCAAATATTTCAATGGACTTCAAACAGCAATATTATTTTGAAACCTTTAGTTTGATTAATAAACGATTTATAACGGGATTCAACTCCTATTACATTGCCATCTGTCAGAATAAGGAGACTGTTATATTAAATAACCTTATAAATCACGATTATAATTACTAAATTCACCATTAAGACTATAAATGTATGTTGTAGATATATCTTGAGCCTTCCATTGTACAGTATCGAGTACTGACTTGAACTACTTGATTGAATATTTAATAATTTTGTATTCAGAATTTTATCAAAAAATTTAATTTTTTGTGCTAGATTGTGTAAAACTTTAATTCTTTTCTATATAGTATTTGTGCCTTGTTTAAGCATTATATAACTGAAATAAACCTTCGTAGTAGATTACTATCTTTGTTTACAGCGTTTTGAAAATCTATTTTGTATTTATCATTGTTAGTTAAGGGTTTTGAACATTTTAATATGACTTGTTAGTAGGTATGTGGTATTTTATTGTTTATTTTATCTATCGCTCTTTGTTATTTTTATTAATAAATATATTAAAATACACTTTTAATATTTTTTGCACCCCAATGGTCTTTAGTGCACAGGGAGAAAGATAAAGAACAATGTTGAACAGGGGTACAAAAAGAAGAAAAAGAATATATATATATATATATATATATATATATATATATATTATATATATATATATATATATATATATATATATATATATATATATATATGATCAAAGAAGTGTTTAAAATACAAAATAGGATGATTTGAATTAAGAAAATCTTCGGTTTAAATCGGACAATGACAACATATCTCCGTTTCTACGTGATTAAGATTCGAGCAAATTTTACAAAGAACTCTAAAATGGCACTCTCATCAAAATAAGCGAAAAATGTATAACTCATTTTAATAATTTCTGTTTTCTGCAATTCAGACGTTCTTCTGAACAAAATAGAGATGACCGTTGTTGACAAAACACGGGTTTTCGGTTAGACAGTATACTTCCTCTATAACGAACACGGTTATAACGAGTTTTCGCTTATAACGAGGTACGTTAGATGTCCCTTGAAATTTCTATTGAACTATAACCCTCTATAGCGCGGTTAGTTTGCTTATAACGAGAAAAAATAAGATTGAAAACGTGTTTTTTCACGTTTTGGCCCGACCGTAGCTATAACGTAACTTAACGATTTCCTGTCTTTAAATCACACTACATCCACATATTCAATTTGCGATGGAAACAGAGAAAGATCTACAACTAGCGTTCCTAAATGTATTGGTAAATCAAAAGTAATGTTATTTAGGACATAAAGTGTATCGAAAACCTACACACACGGACATATACTTAAACAGGAACTCAAATCATCATCCAGGCCAAAAACAAGGTATCATCAAAACTGGCGGAGATGGCGAAGAGTATTTGTGAACCACAGCATCTGCAAAGTGAACTTCTTCATATTGAAAAGCACTCACCTCTAATGGTTTTACCAGAAGAGAAACACATAAAGCAATTAACAACGTTTCTAGAAGAAACAGCATGTATAGACTAATCGTTATTGCCTATATATCAGGGGTAACAGACAGAATTGGGCGAATACTTAAAAAAAGCCAATATAAAGGCCATTTTCAAGCCTACATGACTGCTTAAGACCGGTGAGGTACAAACGCGACCCATTAGCAAAGGCTGGTGTATACCGAATATCATGCACATGTGGAATGGTATATGTGAGAACCACGAAAAGACATAGACACAAGGATAAACGAACATAAAAGCCATTGTCGTTTAGGACATATCGACAAATCTGCCGTTGCTGAACAGGCTTTGAGAAGCGGAGAACATCGGATACTCTTTGAAGAAACGCAGATGCTGGAGAAAGCACTAGATAGGCACTATTCTGTATGCGCGTTCTATTACAAAAAAGTTGTGAATTCCGAAAGAATGTTTATGTTTGTTTCATCGACTTCGAGAAGGCGTTCGACAGAGTCAAACACAATACACTTTTCGACTGCCTACGGGCAGCAGGACTTGACCACTATGATATAAGACTGCTGAAATACTTATATTACAATCAAGTAGCCTCTATCCAAATTGGAGACAGTCCCACTGAAAAAATACCCATCAAACGTGGAGTACGGCAGGGTTGTGTTTTATCACCCACTCTTTTTAATCTGTACTCTGAAGAAATCTTTAGGGAGGCTTTGGATGACAGACAAGAGGGAGTAAGACTAGGTGGAGAAGTAATCAACAATATTAGATAAGCTGACGATACAGCCATTCTTGCAGAAAGTTTAAAAGATCTCCAAACATTACTAAATCTAGTCAGTGAAGCAAGTTATCGGAGAGGCCTAAAAATCAACATTTCAAAGACAAAGTGGATGGCAGTTGGAAAGATCCACATAGATCAACGTCTGCTTTCTCTTAATGGAGAAGAGATAGAAAGGGTAAATCATTTCAAATACCTTGGCAGCTGGTTAAATGTAAATTGTGACTCTGATGAAGAGATAATATCCAGGATCGAAATATCACGTAAGGCTTTTATGACCTGGAAACCAGTTTTATGCAACAGAAACCTGTCAATGAACATTCGTAAGAAGGTCCTGAAATGTTATGTGTGGTCGATCCTATTGTATGGTTGTGAGACATGGACGTTAAAAACCACAATGCTAAACAAGTTAGAAGCATTCGAAATGTGGTGCTATAGACGAATCCTAAAGATATCGTGGGTTTCGCACACTTCCAATGAAGATGTTCTTCAAATGATCAACTCAGAACGTCTGCTCATAAACATCATAAAGAGGAGAAAAACAGAATACTTCGGCCATATAATTAGAGGACCCAAATACCATTTACATACTTCGCCTTATAATACAAGGAAAAGTGGAAGGAAAGAGATGGATTGGTTGAAAGAAACTTTCATGGCTGCGTAATATTAGACAATGGTGTGGTTTCACAGTAGAAGAATTATTTCGCGCAGCAGCCGACAGAGAAAGGTTTCAGGAAATATATAAGCATCCCAATAATTTTAATCGGATGGAAGGACTAAAAATTAACAAAACATGGATACCAATAAAAATCCACAAACACCCTTCCCGCAAAACACGAAGAAAGAATAGCTACGAACGACGACACGTCCCCTCATGCCGAAACCAGTGGAGGGGAGGCGGGTAGAAATAGTAGTCGAGTAATACTCTGAGGAAGAACTAAAGCAAATTCTCACCGAGCAAGACATTCCTGTCGCCACAACCCTACAAAGCCAAAATGCCCGAACTGCGGAGGCGAGCACTCCGCATATTCCAACCGTTGCCCGAAAAGGCAAGAGCAACCCAATAATCCATACCAAACACAACCCCTATCCATCGAAAGATCGTCACCCCCTTTCAACCTAAAAAATACCATCAAACTCTTTATAAATATCTTTAAACATACATCACTTCTATCATAAGCTCCGTGATAGAAAAAATCTTTGGCCACACAATAGTCCTGTCTGGCCAAAACAATAAGGTCGAAATGACCTTTCACCCCAATTATTAAACACATTATTAGGATTTCATATTAGGAGCAGTTAATTGCCAAGGGATCTCTAAAAAGAGACCCGTAATCAAACGTATCCCGCAAAAACACAATATTCAAATCCTAGCTATCACAGACACACTTTGTCGAAATACTCCGTCTTTTGCAAGATATATAACAATATTTCGAAGCCGCTGTCAGGTTTCCCGTGGGAATGGAATCCTTATCAAACATGGATTACCACACTCCCCCCACATTTTTCCTACACACAACGTGGACTTTCTGGCAATTGATCTGCACCTTCCTAAAAATCAAACCCTCACTATAATCTCTTACTACAGGCATTCAGCGAGCCCGCTTTCTCTCGAACTTCTAGAGTAGTTCTCTACTCTAAATAAAGCAATTCTAATGGGCGACCTGAACTGTAGACACACACAATTTGGTAATCATTTTTCAAACCTGGAAGGCATCAGACTTACTGATATACTTCTAGACCTTCCAGTCATAAGAATCACAAATACTGACTATACGTTTTTGAACGCAAATGGGGCATCTATCGTGGACCACATCATCGTTACTGGTAGCGTGATCCATAAGTTCGACGACCGGTGCCACATAGGTGACACAATAACGTCCGACTATCTTCCCATATTAGTTAATTCTGATATCACGTCACCCACAATCCCACCAACTCCCAGACAAATAAGAAATTATCGTAGCGCAAACTGGCCACGCTTTAAAGAATATATCACTATCAACATTCCAGAGTTAGGCAAAATTAATACTAATGAAAGTATTGACCAGAGTGTTATCCAAATTAAAAACCTAATAGTCGAGGCAATCAATCACTCAATTGCAATGAAAACTATACAACCATTCTCTCCGGCACTTCCACAATATATTATTGCCAAAATACATAAAAAAGACGGTTTTTACGTCAATACAAGATCAACAGAGACCCCATTGTCAAAACAGTGTCCATCAAAAATATCCATCCTACAGGCTCGCCAGTGGGAGGATGCTACCTTGAAATTGGAGTACAGAGATGGGCTAAATTCTAGAACAAATTCAAAGTTCTAACAAAAAAAAGCAACTCAACCCTCTCATCTGTTGATCGACAGAACTGAAAGCTGAAGCATTCAAAAACTCGCTTCATGAAAATTTTCAAACATCAAATAATCCAAACTTTGATCGCTTATTCAAACTCGAAACTGACTATGCAGTAAAAAATACTCTCTTGCATCAAACTCCAAATCACGTCCAAATCATGGACTTATTACTGACAGAGAAACGGAGAGTTATTGCCATCTAGGCAAAAATAATTCTCCCGCACCTGATAATATCAGTAGAAGGTGTCTAAAGCAACTTCTAGAGAGTATAATCCCGCTTCTCACAAAAACTATTAACGCATGTCTCAAAAACTGCTATTTTCCTACTCCTTGGAAAATAGCTAACACTATCATGATACCCAAAAAGGATAAGCCCCGTACAAATGTGGAATCATACAGACCTATCTCCTTAACTCACTAGGGAAAGTCCTTGAGCTAATCTTAAAAGAGAGGCTCAGCGACTTCCTCGATTCAAGCATCATCCCCAAATTTCAGTATGGATTCCAACCAAAAAGATCAACCCAAAATGCATTAATAGATTTCACCTCAAAAGTTACACAATCTATAAACTGCAACAGTATCGCCATCGCCACTTTTCTAGATGTGCAAAAAGCCTTCGATCAAGTCTGGCATGAAGGACTTATTCGGAGGCTAATTGACATCAGGCTACCACTTCAATTCATTAAAATCATTCACTCCTATCTTACAAATAGAACGGTGAGAGTGAGAATAAGCGATCAACTATCAACCCCATTTACTCCACGAGCGGTAGTACCACAAGGCTCCTTGCTTGCACCCCCGTTGTACATCACATACAACAGTTCTATACCCACTCCAAACATACCACACACCCAACTGTACCTCTATGCAGATGACACTCACCTCCTAACAACAGGGAGCGGTTATTTTCCTAAGAGAACCTTTAGAAGAGCACAAACTCTTAAACGGTGTCGAAGAGTGGTGTAATAAGTAAAGAGTTACTCTAAACGCTGCAAAAACACAATCTATTGTGTTCCGCAGCCCTACAGCTTCGTCAGGCATCATATGCAATCGCGTTCATTAAACACCCCTGTATTTGATGGGAGAATGGCTCGTTACCAGCCCGACAGCTTTCTACTTGAGCGTTTTATTCACTAAAATGCTTAATTGGGACGTTGATCTAAAGGCAACTTTAGATAGGGTCAGAAACCGAGCCCGTCTTCTAGTACCACTTTCAGGGACTTTCGGTAAAACTAATAATAAAACTCTCATTCACACTTATAAAACCTTCACTCGACCTGTTATTGAGTATAAGGCACACTTATATTGCCTTCTTAAGGGTTATCAAAGGAAAAAACTGATCACTGCGGAGCGCAGAATTTTGCATAGAACGTGCAAAAAACGATGGTGCTTCCCTTCCCGTGAAATCCACCAAACGGCCAACACCACCCCTATCGTCGAGAGAATTAAAACTCTCAACAGGAACTTTACCCTCAGGACTATCAACGGCCCCTCTTCTAACACCCAAAACACTCTAAAAAGTTCCTGTTTCCTACCACCTGTTTTTTGGTCCTACCAAAAAGAAACATCCACACATCCCATCCATTCTGATGCAAACATGCATCGACGAACTTCCGGTAGAATATGCAGACATCCTTGAGGCCACTCCATTAGCCTATCGCCGTACCTAGCTTTTGCCTCATCCTCTTCCCGACCCCGGACAGGGGGAGATTGGTTTTTTGCGGTTTCCTCAATCTCACTACTCAACGATACCTGTCCGTCCCTAAGAAAATAGCCACAACTATTTTCTCACCTGAATCGGGAGTTGCTGGAACCGTCTATCGAACTCCGACGAGGCCTGGCCGTTAGCGGGAGCAATCGATAACAGAATTTTAGTGCAATACACTAGTTCTGTGTTGATTGCAAACGCATAAACGGCTGCAGGAAGAACGGTTACTAGAGAACACGGTTTTAGTTACTGCCGAGTCAGACTCGCACGCATTCACACAACACTCTCACACAAATCCAACAGTGAAAGGGGTCCTCTTTCTGTTACCGATGTATCCTCATCACCGGAACCCCCGACCGCCTGCAGCCTCCGTTACTTTACACGTGGTCTGTGGTCGGCCGGGGAAAATCTAAGTGATTCGACTGAGCCTGTAACAACGAAGTGGTAGCGTCCGTCACTGCTGGATTTACACACACATTCACACTGATAAAAATGCGGCAAGCCGACTCTCGAAAGCCGAGGCGCCTCCACTCGACCACGAAATTTCAGTGCAATACACTGGTTTCGGGGCCCAGTTAAGCTCGAGACTGCACAGAACCAATGGTCACTAGAGACCCGGCCTTGTCGCATCTAGCTCTAAAACACACACAATCAAATTGGAAAGAACATCTACTCCAGTCAAGCCTTTCTCTCTGGTTCTCTGATTGTCGACTCTAAAACCCTCCAGGCGAAGAACAGAAGAAGAGGAAGCTACCACCCCGGTAATTTTTGGGTATGTTTGCCTTTGTACTGCAATCCATAACATTCAAACTCAAGCCTGAAGAGGGTCAATCGACCCTAAACGGGCACAAAATGTATTCTCATCCTATCGTAATAAATAATCCTTATCCTATCCTCTTGAGAAAGAAAATTTAATTGAGTGAGTACAATGCGGCATCAGTTTCAGCTTACAAGCGAACGGTAACATCTCCAGAAGATGCCAACCATTAGTGTTGGCGAAACGTCTGGAACTAATCTCAGAAGACAACGGCCTAACAGCCCAAACAAACTGTTTAACAAGTTGGATGATCGCCGTGAAAGCATAACGCATTTTATCAAATGACATCATGTTCAGATTTTTCGTTAAATTTCCAAAGTGAAAAGTTATTTGTTTTTAATTTTTTTTATTTAAAATCCTTTATAAAACCCAAAAACGGGCTATATCACAATTACAGAACGTTTTCGGAATGTATATTCGGGTAACATGGCATGTTACCAATTCAACTGGTATAACTTAAACATCTTAACTTTTAAGAACATATATATCTAATGTAACAGAAATTTAAACTAACAACATTTAACGGGTTTTTACCCATATATTTTAGTGGCTCAAAACATATGGATGATGATGGAATATATATTCCGAAACGTTCTGTAATTGTGATATAGCCCGTTTGGGTATTTTATTATATACCTTTTATAAAGGATTTGAAATAAATGTGATACATGGTATACAGCTACTAGGAACTTAGTTTCCTAGTGGATTTATTTGTTTTTCTGAAAACTCAATAGATTAATATTTTATGTGTCTGCCTCTTCATTTTTACTTATTTTCAACTGACAATAATTTGTAATGTATACAGACAATTAAAATAGAAATAGCCGTAATTTTGTTCAATTAATCAGTTAATTTAAATTCTTTATCCTATTAAAAATAATCTAAACAAGATTTTTGACAAGTAATGACTAATCCTATAGTATTTATATCCTAAAATGTTTACGAAATGTCGAAATATACCAAATATTTATAATAATACGTCTTATTAACCACAGATCACCTACCTGGTCTGTGTTATTAACGTGCTAATTGCAACGCAACTACGATCGCGGAAGGAAAATCAAACAAAATTGTTTTACACAAAATAGATATGACTATTTGTTAATACTTTTTATGGTTATAAAAATTTTGTATGCACCACGGCAGTAAACACTCTTTATCGAACTCGTCTGTTATTCGCCTTCTTCTCATAATATTAATGGTACGCATTCGAAAAAAGATTACTTTACGTTTGTATTACGTATTTGACGTTTACTTCTAGATTAGAAATATTCATTGTATTTCCAATTCCACTGGTTAATTTTGCAAAATATAATAATTAAAACGTAAAATGCCGAAAAAAATCAAGGATCAAAAACCTGAAACGACCTTTTTTTTAAATCATAAAATAAATAATAATATGTAGATTTCAAATTTGGTATGTGTATGCAACACATCATACATGTTAATACATTTCATTTTTTTATAAAATGACCTTAACGATCTGGTTTATAAATTTCTTGTTTTACTACATATTTAAATAAAGAAAGACGTGTATAATTTTATCGATTCATTTTACGAATAAAAATTCCCATTATAGATTATCATTTACCACAAATTATCTATAAAATATATCTAGACATTTCTATCAGTTTTACTGGTTTGCGTGCGGTTTAAATGCGCTGGCAGTGTCAATTGTGATCTAAATTCTGAAAGAGAGCGGAACTGAATTTTTGTAGGTTAGGAAATTTTTTCAATTGTTAGGGTATGTATAAATTTGTTCCTGTAATTCGTACTATTTCTAATAAAAGAGTAATGGGTATTTTTAGTTCGAAAATGGCCGTGGACATGTCATCACCTAAAGCCAAAGAAGTACTTGCCATCATCAAGAAAGACAAAGTTGTTATTTTCTCAAAAACCTATTGTCCGTATTGCAAAATGGCAAAACAGGTAAGTTTAACCTACAAACTAACCTGTATTTATTTGTTTTTCTTACAATGTCGCTTAGTTACCAGCTAGTCTTTTGTTTTTTAAGTGTTGTTTGATAACCTTTGATGAAACTCTTGTAAAAATGTCATGTCCTTTTGTTGCACCCTAAATTTCAATTTCACCTAGGTATCAAGATCAAGGTTAAGTTTGCCGTAAAATTGTGGAATGTTGTGAATGCAATATTGCTAATAGAATTGGTCATAACCAACCAATTTATTTGCTAGGCTTTCATGTAATTTATGGGCGTTTCAATAGTGGATTAGAGATAACGTTTTAATTATTTGTGTTTAATAACAAAACTTATAGTTTTACTTGATTTACAATAAATGACGAATTGCAATACAGCATTCCATATTCTGATAGTCATCATAGTTATGTAATTTTTTTATATTTTTATTTTTTATTAGGCACGCCAGGTCCGGACTGGCCCGCCGCGTGCCGACCTGCGTGTTTTGTTCTGTGTGCTTTTGATTTGTTCAATCAATCATAAAAAAATTTTGGGCTAAAAAATTTTTAAAGACTTACCCGAAGATGATGCAGCTAGTGTTTCCCTAATAAACTTGGTAATTACTTACATTAGTAAGACTATATAGTCGGATTAGCCTGAAATTTGAACAGTGGATTGTGGTTTATTTTTTATTACCTTTACCACAGAATAAATAACAATCAGAATGCCCACTCTCAAATGCCGCCTTTGAAGTTTTTCAGCACGCGATCTCCATATTTTTAACGGAAACATAAACTCGAATTGAAAAATTTGTGACAAGCTACGACAGAACTGTAATTCAAATTTTTAGAGATTAATAATTTACTACATTTGAAATAATTTAATCTATTCTTCAACTTAAAGTATGAATAAAATAGTGTAGGTATATTATGTTTATAGTTGCCGTAAATAAATTAAACCTGGTTAATTGTTCTATGCACACAAGATAAAATTTCACTGGACAGCACTGGTTCCGACTAAAACATGGCTGATTCAGTCTGCGCGAATGGACCACAGGAGTGATGACGTAGATTTGATTGACATCTGCCAGTTTCACTTTCCAAACAAACGTTGTTTAGTGTGGATAATTTGTATTTTTCGTTATTTTTTCATTTATTTTATAGAATCTTTCCGCTTTTTGCAATATTTAAGTATTCTAATAGTTACTACAACAATTTTACAAGGTTGTGTAAATAATAAAGCACATTGTTTTATGCTAATAGGAATAAAATGAAAGTATCAATAAAGTAAGGTTAAAATTTCTTTAATTAAACTTTTAAACCATATTTCATAGAAATAGAACTCTGAATTATGACGGTATTATCGTAAAAACACTATACTTACAAGAAAAAGCAGCAGAGGAAGCAAAATGTTAACTTTATAGGAATTAAAAAGTCTTGAGATTTGACATTTCAATGTTTGTTTGGAAAGTAATAATGACAATGTGACGTCACACTCCTGCGGTCCATTAGATCCGCGTACTTATTTTTCAGAGTGGGCATTCTGATTGTTTATTATTCTGTGCCTTTACGTAGTTTTTCCGTATTTCTCATTAAAAAAACTGATATTTTGATATAAATTTCAAACTGCACCCGCCATTATGTCTGCTATCAATGATATGCGTATGCGTAGCGCATACTTTTTTGAACCAATGTTGCCACACTTTTTAAATATATTGTTTACTGCGAAAATACTAATTCTCGAGTACTTTCATAATGAAATAATGACAATGAATATCATTTTAGTTTCTTGTTTCTTAGGAATTGTTGTAACTATAGTTTATTTGTTATTAACTTATGTTATTACATATAGATTCGATTTAATTTCTTTAGTTTAGGTTTTAATGTGATTATGATAAATGAGTTTTTGCGAAATACTTTGTTTGCATTGTTTATTCACTTCTTTTTGGAAGCCTAGCTTTCTCATCGCGGGCTAGGTGTAATCGGGCATAGGAGTAAAAAAATATAAGCAAAAGAAAGACAATGAAACCGAAACGCAATTTAACGAGAGATTGCGCGACCATACACTACGTGGAGCCAGCGCCGGTTTAACACAGTCTGCCGCCCGGTGCTGACACGGATGCCGCGTCCAGGCTCAAAAATATTTCTTAACTTTATTTCAATTCAACACAACATATTTTGAATACAAGTTTATTAAAATAAACAATTACAACTTTTTTTGGTTTCAAACTTACTTAAATGATTACTAACAAAATACAAGAAAAAAAAATAAGGGCAAACTTCAAAAAGTAAAATAAAAGTGTACCTAATAACATTCAAACAGGTAACATGAGGTAGGTAATCAAATACCTTTACTATTGAAAAGATTGTTTTCTTGCTTTTACTGAAGCAAAGTTTTCGATGATATCATTTAAATTTAATTCATTTAGCTAGATGAAACTGCTAAGTTTTCTTGTAAAATTGCATTTCTTAAGTAGGTCTTTACCCATTTTAGTATCGAAAGTACCATTATGAAAAAAAAAACACAGGCAAACATTAAAATTTGGAAATGACAATATTGATTTATTTTTGTAAACCTGTACCAATTCTAAAGGAGTGTCTATTTTTAATTGGCGAAGAGACGTTAACAAATGCTTTAAATGAACACAATCTTGGGTAAATTACCCATCCAGATCTTCCTTGTATTTTTGTTGTAATTAGTGATGACTGTCTAATCCTGGAACTGATTACGCGGAACTGATCTTTACAGTTGGAACCGTGGAACAACTGATCCACTAGAAAACATATACAGATTGAACGAAATAAATTCGGAAGATACGAAATATTATGTATTTTGGCTCAATTTTGCTGTAGGTGGTTAGCCAACAAAAGGTTGCAAAATAAATATATTATGAAAATCCAATACTTCAGCGGGCTGCTGGATTCTGAAATCATAAAAATTGAAAGCTACACATAAATCTACGATTTTATTATGCTATCAAACCAGTTATCGCTTCTTTAGACCAGCCCTTCTTTGAGCTGTGTTGCCAACGTCATTCGTTTAGATGTTTCTCAAATATTTACAAGTGCATATTTACTATGCATAAGTACGATAGAGGCGCACGGTAGCGCGCGGCGCCGCGGCGGCTGAAAAATCGAGTGTACGCGCATACTTAACAAATAAAAAACAACGGTCTAAATTAAAATAAGCCCCGATTACTCTTCACAATCTTGAAGTTGAATGTTTAAACTTTGATTTAGACACTTGGTAACCTCAAAAATAATAATTTACATATGTGTTTTCAAGCCTCAAAAATGCGTATTTTCGCGTTTTTCAGACTTTAAATCGCTTATAACTCGAAAACTATTAACTTTAGAGAAAAATGACAAGAGACTTTTTTTGTTTAAAATGGCCCAAAAAAACCTAAAAAAACGTTTTCCAGATTAAAAAAAAAATTATTTTTGGACTTTATTTAAAAAAATTGTTTAAACAATTTCTACCCAAAAATTTCGCCCGGCACCCTTCAGATTTGTTTAAAGGGGACATTTTTGAACCGGAATCCGCGAAGAAACCGAATCAGAAACATTTTCCCAACGGGAGCGGCCTCACAGCCTGGACTAATATCTTTACATAAAAAACTCGAATTAGTTCTGTTTATTTTTTAATTAAATATGTATTATTTTTTAGGTCTTTGATGATCTTGGTGTTCCATATACATCTATAGAACTCGAAGTTAGAGATGATGGAGATGAAGTACAAACTATTTTGGGTCAAATCACAGGAGGTCGAACTGTAAGTACCAGTTTTTTGTAGTATATGAGCAGGTGAAATTATTTAAATTATCACTAAGGTACCTTCGCTGTTCATTTTTCTTCCTGATATAGTGACTCTGGTAAGAGGGAAATGACTTGATATGTTTGCAGACATATTCTTATCGTCCTCAGAGATTTTCCTTGCTGGGTATCCTTTTATACCTCTGAGGTCTTCACCAGGTAATTTACCTTCACATAGTTTTTTTTAGAGCTCGTGTAACACGACCATCTGACACGCAAAAAGTAGTGAGAAAATACTTTTTGCACACTACAACTGATATACCTTGATTTGTTTTTAAGTAGTATATGTTTACCCCACCCCTTAAAGTACCACCCTCTTTACGGGGACTTCTTTGCTTGATTTGAGTTCTTTGAATCAGTCCGCAAATATAAGTATTTTGTCGCTTAAAATCCCCTAGTTCTCAGAAATACTGAAACATAGAATGTCGTTCTTCGGTTGCTACCTTCTCATGACACGCCATTCTACAATGACATGGGGTGTCTGAAAATGTTTTATTTGCTATTACTTGACAATTTACATTAACATACCTCTCACCAGATTTCCTCTATTTCTTAGCAATGCTTTTCTTATGACATTCTGGCTTCCTGAGCCTTTTTCTAGTTTTTACTTTAGCTTGGAGACTGATAAACTCATTATTTTCATCTGACTGATTATCTGATTCGGATGTAGTAGAAATTAATATGTTTCTTCTTCCTACAAGGTTGAGTCTTTGTTCAAAATGAGTAAGCCTGTTATCTTCATTGTAATCTGGATGCCTATCTACATCATTGGTTGATTTAATAGAGTCTGATTCGCTTGGTAAATGTAACCTGTTATAGGTTTTCAGTATAGGCCTACTCATGTTTTAGGTTATTTAAATTTCTTTTTTTATATAAAAATGCATTTTCACTTGAAATAACGGTATTGTTGTAAAAGTTAGTTGTTAATTCTAAACACAGGCCTAAACTCAAAATGTCAACAAGTATACTTTTCTCACATTTCAGTTATAAAACAAGATTTTCTTCAATTTAAAAACAAATTACTGTGACAGAATATCAAATATGTTTGTTTATATACCACCAATAATATGTAATAATAGATATAACACAAAATAACACTCACTGATGACTTAGCAATATAATCTGGCATATAAACAAATTCATCATCTGACTTACACCACTCTCATTCTAAACACATTGGCAGTTTAGTGTAGGATGACAATGATGTGCTGCTCCCAGTGGCAATGAGTGAATAATTGACTTACTTCACTCTCAAACTAAACAGAATGAACAATTCGGATAATAAATATTGACTTAACTCTAATTTTTGTTTGACTTACACCACTCTGATTTTTACCAGTTCATATATTAAACTAAAAAGTTTTCCTGTCTCCGGCTTCTATACACCATGCCTATCTTCAAAAAAAATTTTTTAAGTGTTTGTTTTTCTTTGTGTAGTGCATTGTGATGTCCCATTTTATATTTATGACATTCTACTCTTGTCGGATAGGCCGCAATTGACGAAATGCCCCTGAAGATGATCTAGTGATCGAAAGTACTTGGGCAAGATTAAATTAATACTGTGCTCAATATTTGCCTTGTATATTATCAAAGTTCATTTATTCGAGCATTCAACCTTATTTTAATTTAAAAAGTTTTTAGTGAAAAGTTCATATGAAAATGCTATTCATATTTGTAAAAATTGTTTGAATAATCATCTGCATTATTTTTCAGGTTCCTCGAGTTTTCGTCAATGAAAAGTTTATCGGCGGAGGAACTGATGTGAAAGCCTTGTACGAAAAGGGAGAATTGCAAAAGCTTGTAGGTTAACAATATAAAACATTGTAAGATATTTTAAATTGTAAATGCTAGTAACCACTTAATACTTACACACTATTTAATGAGGACGTTAATGTTAAAAATTTTTCAGGTAAACAAGCTGTAGTGGATTTTTATTATTTTTGAGAATTTTATTTGTATATTGGTCATAGCTTAATGTTTGCTACTAATTTTTTTATTATTCTTTTATGTGAAATATTTTAATACAATTCTCATGCTACGCCCTAGACTTTTATTTATTTAATACAAAATCTCCAGTTCCAGAATCGTTCACAAAGTCTTTAACGGTAGATAGATTTTCCTATATGCACTATAGTCCTACCAGAGATCTAAGAAAGTCATTAATATTTATTATCGATAAGTGTATACCGCAAGGCAGCGGAGGATCGCCTCTGGACAGAATCGTACTTTTATTTTCGATTTACATTACTTATTTGATTGTTAGGTGTGTTTAAAAGCCGGTCTTTTTCATTATCTACTAAAGTTATAATAGTGGCAAAAATATTTACTTATATACTGCATTCACATATTTACAAAACTTTATTATTTCTAAGTAAAGTACAAAAAGAACAGAGGAAAAATACTTTAGAAAATTATTTTCAAAATTGAGGTGTGTCTAAAAGCTGGCTTTATACCGTTATCAACTGAATTTAAAAATATTTACATAAATTAGGTATACATAAAAAGTTTACCATTTATAAATACAATTCAAAAAGTACTTACATTTAAAAAAAATTACAAGGACAAGTCAGTTTCACTATCACTGTCGTTATCTAGATCTATAACAAATGTTTCTTTGAGCAGCCTATCTGTATTTTTACAGCTGTCATTAGTTATTTTCTCTATTTCTAATTCAATTAGACGAACCACAGATGAATTTAGGGTAAGCCAAACATTACTTCTCCTTACCGATGCTTTTAGCTCAAGCCATATGTGTTCAATAAGATTGAACATGCAATAGCAAGAAGGAAGTCAATACTTTATAACCCATTTCTTACGCCTAACTGTCGCAATAATATTGTTTTCTGATGAAAAATGATTTTAAAGTTTCAAGTAATTGTTTTTTAGAATAATTATCTTCATAATATTGTTACGAATATGCATTCGGAGTGGCCCGTATAACGGTTGCATCTCGAAAGCGACTAGAAGTTTCCGGCGATGTATCGAGTGCGAGAGAGATAATCCGTGAAATAGGTGAATTAGAGGTGGGCTACCCCAGAATGTTTTAGAACATAGTGACTTTTATATATAAGCATACCTTCTAGGAGTTAAAGTTTAGTTGTTAAGATATTACCGAACTGTCAACTTATAAATAAATATATTTATATAAATTCGAACCGCTCGTTTTATTTAAAAAACGCGCGGTTTTTTAAATAAAAAAAAAATACAGTTGGTGTCTGGTGTGAGATTTCAAAATAAATTCAGCAGTGACCTTTGAAAAAGATTTTTGAACTTTTGAAAAGTCGGGAACATCCGCGTAGTTCTGTAGTGATCTTTGTACGAAAGAACATTTAAAAAAGTACGTGTGTCCCTGACCAAATATGCTGATAGTAGAACTTTCAGTAAAACAGTTGCGTGAGCAACTAGAAGAACGCGATGAAGACTGCAGCGGGTCCAAGAAGATACTCCAAGAGCGACTGAAGACTGTTCTCAACAAGAATGGAGACGTCCCAGAGACATTCCAGTTTCAATCAGTAGAAGAAGCCATTTTAACTAAAATAATTGATGGAAAATTCGAGACTTTTTCCAAAAGATTCAATGAAAAGTCTCAAACGATTGAAGAAACTTCTTAAATTATTAAAGAAACAGCTAGACAAAACGACGAGAAATTCGAAAATATGTCTAGAAGATTCGAAGTATGTATTCAGAACAATGAGAAATTTGGAGAAGTCTCGTAAAACATTGGATAAAGTAGAAGAGAAGTTCAAACAGTTAAAGAGAATGATAACCAATACAAAATTGCTACCACCAGTTAATACAGTAGCCTTAGATCCGGTAGTGAAAGAAGAATCACCCAGAGACGAAACGACACATCAAAAGCGATTCAAATTGCCACCATTTGATGGAAAGTCTTCTTGGTCCATATACCTTAAACAATTTAAAGCTATTGTGACAGCCAATCATTGCACAGAACAAGAAAAAGCTGTTTCCTTAACTGCTGCTTTAAGAGGTGATGCTGCGGATATTCTGAGATGGATTCCTAAGGGTCAAGAAAAATGTTACTAGACCTTGTTCACTCGACTAGACAGGAGATGCCCATCTACAACAAGTGTACAAAGTAGAGTACAAAGAAGTAGAAACCAACGAGCAAGTGAGAGTTTCCAAGAATTTGAAGCAGTTGCTCGTATAGCGCTGTTGGCCTATTCAGAGGCACCAGATAACATATTTACGGAGCTATTTACTATACGGAAAATTTATTATAACAACACGTTAAAATACACGTTGGAATGGTACGATTTTTTAAATTCGTCAACTATACTTTCTTTATCAATATTTAGAGCAAGTTCGTGTTCAACAAGGACACCATTAGATATTCCAAACAGTCTTGTAGCATTGTCAATTGAAATATCGATTTTATTATGCCCAGCTTAGAAAAACTTCTCTCAAAAGTACTTGTTAAAGGAATTGTGGCAAATTTTACCATAAAGGTCGATTCAAAGACATCAGTCCCGTCACAGTCCCGGCGCCGAACCGGTCGTGTTTGGTCACAGAATTATTAATTATCTGACAGCTGGGAAACTGTTCGTTAACTGATGAATGTGAATGCCGGCGGCATATTTCTATTAAATAATATTTTGTATGACGGATTGTTCGGTTCGGCGCCGAGACTGTGACGAGAGGTGACTGATGTGTTTGAATCGACCTTTAGTTGGATAAACACTGGAAACATCGATTTTCTATTATTCTAAAACATCCAATTAAGCCAGTCGAGAGCTTTTAAAGATTTTAAATTTTTTACTTTTTCTTTTTTTAAGTCTTAGTTTAGCTTCTAATTCTGAAGATTTCAAATCAAAATATTCTAAGGTGTATTTTAAATCTTAATTTCCTAGCTCATTTATATTTAACGATGTGATTTTGCCTACTGAATAAATATATATTTTTTAATTCTTGGTCAAGTTTACCATTTAATGGCTAAATCATTCGATCTAAAAGCGGATAAATAGAGTTCCATTCCTTTTGTATCGTTGACTGTAAATGCATTGCCAGTATTATTATCTAATATAAAAAGAAACTTTACGTCTTATCAGGGTAGGAATGTCAATTTGAAGTCTATCACAAGTGTCTTTTACTTGGGAATAAATATCAAATATAAATAGTTCGATCCTTAATTATTCCAAGGCAAGCGCTACGTTTAAAACATCGGTACAAATATCTGTCTAGTGATTGAACTAATTTGCTAATTTTGATACCTGTTTGAGTTACATAGAATGGGTTCTAATAAAATATTAAAAGTCCTCTGGTAAATGCATACAGGTTTTTTTTAGTTTTAGGCGTTTATGATAACTTCTCGAGCAAAATTTTGTATCCCCGTGTTTAATTTTGAAATGTCAACGGTGGCCCATATTAGATATATCTATGTTATTTATAATTATCTTATTTATTACAAAAGTTTTACTCTGTAGTTATCTTCATATCTTCACAATGTTCACAGATTGATCCCAATATTTGCGCCCCTCGAAAGTTAGTGTGGGTTCCACGGCACCTGCTGTCGCTACGCCTATGAGCTAAATTTACAAATGCTGCCTTTTAAGCTTTTTAACATAAGGTGACTTGACCCTCGGCCATAGGGTTTTATTGTGATAAATTGTGTAGGTAACCGTTAGACAGGTGTGTACATTGATGATTTATTAAGACAAACTATAACTATAATATTAGAGAGAGATAGAGAGAGACGTCGGAAGCCCCGAAGAAGACATCGAAAAGGATGTCGAAAGCTCGGCGCAATGATAATCGACGCGGTTCAACCCGGAAGACGGTTGAGTTTAATATTAATTCCTGTAATAGGTAGTCTTGTTTAATTCTTGGGTTTTTCGGTCTGTTGTAAATAAAACACTCAATTTATTGACCAAAAGTAGAAATCCGAAGATTTCTACTTCAGATTTTTGCTTAAATCTCTGCCTTCTACAATTTACAAGGCAAAACAGACGATGAATGGACCGACATAGGGAATCTCAAATTGCATTCCACGACATATCGATTCATCTAAGCAAAAACCTTTCGTGAACTCGTTTTTTATACTCATAAAGAGCAAATAAAGAGAAGAAAAGGCAGTTAGGATTTGATTTTATGTATAGTACCTCTGATTATTCGCTTACACGTATTTCGTCCTAGCAGGACTCATCAAAGCGACTCTGTAGAAGCCCTGAACGTAAAAACAATTTTTTTCCGTCAAGAGGAAATAATAATGACATAACTTCGGCGCCATCTGAGAATAAAACCAAAAAGTAGAAATCCGAAGATTTCTTGGATGTCGAAAGCAAAACTCTTTTTTATTTTAGTATGATCAGTACCATCTATCAGCCTGAGCCTACCAGCAAAAAAGTCAAGTAAACAAATAAATACACAATACTGTTTATTTCTTATCAATATTATTTATGGCTATCAGGTATATTTACAATTATCTATATTATTTAAAATTTATGCATAGTTGCAACCTATATATCTAGCACACGAGTAAGTATATATAATATATAAATAAATGATTATTATTAGCAAAATTAATTAGATGGGGTAAATTTTGTAGTATAGGTAAATGATGACTAGGTTTGTTTTAAATGAGGCGAAATCTAAGATTCGGTATTATAATTTAAAAAAAATATCAAAATTATCCCTATAGTTCTGCGCATATGCAGATAAGAAAACCAAGTTATTATCGTGCGTTGTTCTTTGCACAACTATTAATTTAAACCGTTTATCTACATATTAAGTTTCCATTTACTTAAATACTTGTTTTCAAATGTATTTATACTTTGACCTGTCTATTTTATTGTCTAATTAGCTAATGACGTGTACCTATTATATTATAGTAAAAACTGCAACACGACATTCTATAGGAATCCGAATTAAAAGTATTCAATAAATACTCTACACGTACGATCTAGAATTTTGGCATTGATTTATGTCCAAAAAGTGTCTTCCGGCGATCCTAACCTTAAATTCTAGTTATTTTGTGAAATTTTGTGAATGTATGAACGTTGCTTTCATTGTTGCATTGCAGTTCTGATATGAATATACCCTACGGAAAACTGTTAGTGTATTTTTTAACTTTTCTGGGATATATTTATTCGGGATATGGTTCGGGGTTTCTTTCTAATCTAAGGGAAGCCGTTCTAACAGCCGAGACTGTATTTGGTGAAGTTTTCAAGAATGTTGTTGATGTTGCCAAGAAATTTCGAACAATGCACGATGTTTTCGACGCTGCCGTCGAAGAGGAATGCATTTTTAAATGTCCTAATAGTAAGTTTTTGACCTCATTTGTCATAAATTGAAAAAAATTTATTATGTTTGTTTACCTATGATTTAAAAAATCACTTTTAATATTAGTTAAATTTAGCCTACTTGTGGAACATTCCAAATACATTTTTAGTTGGAAGTGTTTATACAGATTGAACGAAATAAATTCGGAACATAGGAATATAATGTATTTCGGCTCAATTCTGCTGTAGGTGGTTGGCCAACAAAATATTGTCAAATAATTATATTATAAAAATCCAATAATTCATCGGGCTGCTGGATTCTGAACTCATAAAAATTGAAAGCTACACATAAATCTACGATCTATGCTGTCAAACCAGTTATAGTCCAGGAAATGAAGCATTTCACCTCGCAATTTTTTCGTGCTCCCTGAATTGACTTGAAATTTAACAGAAGGTAGGTAATAGCCTAAGGATCAAAATCTATATCGAACCAAAGTGCGCCAAAGCCTAGGGGGTGGTTGCCACCCCATCTCCGGGGTGAAATTTTTTTTTACGTTTTAACTACAGGTTTCGATTAAAAAAGTGATTCTAAACAAAAAATGTGCTATACATTTTTTTTATAAAATGATATTTTTCAAGTTATTCGCGATTGAAAGTAATAACTTTTAGACGAAAAAATCCACGTTTTTAATCGATTTTTCGCGAATAATTCGAAAATGGTGCATTTTATCAAAAAAATTGTAGAGAACAAATTTGTAGCTTTTAAAAAGACAAATACAATTCATTTTTTAAAATGTTTTTGGGATATAATAGGAACCGAAATGCGGCCTATCAATGTTCAGCGGTTTTCTTCAAATGCCAAATTTGAAAGATTCAAAATCAAATATCGGGAAAATGATGCATTTTGGAAGAAAACTCACAAAATCTTTTTTAAGGAGCATAAATAGACCTATCATAAAAAAGACTCTAGCTCAAAAATTGAGTGAGTTATGATGAAAATAAGGTCAATACCTCATTTTTTACGAAAAAATCTATGAAAACATCCCCCTAACCACCACCATAATTAAAATCGATCTTCATTCTTTTGAAATTCCCTTTGTACATGTATTGTTAATACGTCCAAGAAGTTTGACCCATTTAAAATGCTTTGTGTTAGAAAAAGTACCGCTTAAAGCGAGAAACGATTTACAATTTCATATTTTTTACCCTTCTTTTTTTAAATATGCCCGAAAATACTGAATATATGAAAAAAATACAAAATACCAAATTGTAGCTTTTTTAATGACTAAAATTATCCTTCATTTAGATTTGTTGTATAATGAATATTTGGCGAGATATAGCCGTTTAAAGCATCGATTTACGATCAAGCACCATCTTTTTCGAGCCCTTTAAACTCACCCCATTTAAAAACCAAGGGTTCCAAAAAGATTTAATTCACAGATTCTTGTAGCTCTTAAAAACCTCTACAAATCGTTGTTGAAGAAACACTCTATCGTTAAAAATTAAAGGAAATACGTTAAAAAAAACCAGTGAATTTTTTTCCGGAAAATTCTATTAGTATAGTACAGTACATTTCGGAGCATAATAATCTACAAAACCGGTATATTAGCTAGTGGGGCGTTATACATTCGAAATTTTAAGCGTTCTTATTTTGAAATCCCATACAACAGAATAAAACATCTGCTCATATGTCTATGGCTTGGCAATGAAAATATTAGAGCAACAGATTGGGGATGGTATTCCAAAGATGGTTTGTTATTACCCGTACGCATGAACAAACAACCTGCACTCGATGAACTTTTGAAAATTATTTTTTGGCAATGCAAAAAAGGATCCGGTGTTTCATGTGGGTGCACAAAAGTTGGTTTATACTGTAACTCTACTTGTTCTGGGTGCTCAGGTGAAGGGTGCAATATTAGTCCACCAATAATTGAAGATGAGGATGACATAGATCACGATGAAGATGTAATTGATGACGAATAAAATTAATATTACAATTGTTTTACCTACAAATGTAAATATTTTCAACTATTTATGTAAATGTATAAGAATTTTTTTGTATTTAATTCTACTTTTTTCAATTTATATCTTATAAATTAGTTTATAAAAACTGCAATGTTGTAAAGGGTGATTTTCAAAAGTTGAAAAGTTGCAAAATTTTGGCAAAAAATTGTTTTCACCTATAGCACTCATAACAATTGATTTTTAAGGGTTGAAAATGTATGAATTTTTATTTTTAAAGTATAAAAAAATCACTATTTAACTAATCCAAACCAAATTTCACTCATCTTAAGATTTATAATATTATTTTACAATTTTTAAAAATTAGGGGTAGTTTTCACCCCTAAGAACAATCAGGGTTCATCGGCATGACATAAACTATAAAGCAGAGGGTGAGTTGAGCTTGATTCCAAATTTTTATGCAAATCGTTCCAAGGTGAAATCATTTTCTCGCATTACTAATTTTTTTATATTAATCTCTAATAAGGGTCGCTTTTTAAGGGTTGAAATATGATGGAACTTTATTCAAAAGCACAAAACTATCATTATTTAATTAATTCAAACCAAATTTTACCCATATTCAGGTTTAATATGTTATTTTATAATTTTTGACAATTACGGGTAGTTTTCACCCCTTAGAACAATCAGGGTTCGTCGACATGACATAAACTATAAAGCAGCGGGTGAATTGAGCTTAAATCCAAATTTTTATTCAAATCGATCCAAGGCGAAATCATTTTTTTAGAATTAGTAATTTTTTTACATTAATCTCTAACAAGGGTTGCTTTTTAAGGGTTGAAATATGATGGAACTCTATTCAAAAGTATAAAATAATCATTATTTAACTAATTCAAACCAAATCTTACCCATATTCAGGTTTAATATGTTATTTTATAATTTTTGACAATTAGGGGTAGTTTTCACCCCTAAAACCCTTCAGCGCACTTCGGTTCGATATAGATTTTGATCCTTGGGCTGTCACCTACCTTCTGTTAAAATTTGAACTGGATACATACAGGACGAAAAAATTGCGAGGTTTTAACTATTTTCGAGCTACATTTCCTGAACTATAATCGTTTCCTTAGACAAACCCGTCTTATGCAAACAACATTGTTGTGAGACAGGTAGTTGAACGATATTTTATACAATGTCTATACCCAGGTATGGATTTATTTTTGTCCGAGTTTTATATTGGTCCACTATTTCAAATGCAGTTCAAACACACATGTATTAAATTGTATGTTCCGTTTTAATTTGGTTCAATCTGTATGTACACACTCCGTTATATTAGCGTTTAAAATACTAAAATACAATGTGTGCATAAAAGAACAAAAAATCCTTGTTTAGCGAGACACATAATCTAAAATTTTAAATATCACGCAATGTTTATATTTCAAATTATAAGTTAAAAATATTCCAGCTAGTTTGTTACTTTTTGTAAAGTAATAGTTAATTTTTGTCAGCATTGTCTTTGCTATTCGAATTTATTTTTCCATAGACTTTTCAAATATATCATCAGTTTTTATGTTATTTTTATTACGATCCTTTTTATGAATGACTATATTCTCCCACATCTCATTTCTCCAGTTTTATTAAGACAAATTATATTTGTGGTGACCAATACATTAAATTTAATAATTAATTATATACATAATTCGTATTTTATGTTGTTATTGCGTTATTTAAGTACGTTTATCAACAAATATAGCTTCCGTATGCGTTGTTCAGATCATCTAAGTATTTTTTATAACTTAATTTTAAAATCCCGCACCAAGGAATGTTAGCCATTTTAAAAATCAGCTGAGTGACTTTGACACACATTTTGACATACATCTCAATGCGTGAATTTCATTAGGGAAAGCAAAATTTCCTGTTTATAATAAAAAAATAAGCACAGCCTGCTTTATCTGTTATTTCTATGGTATACCGTGAATATCTACTTCTTGCATAACGCTATTTTCGCTGTTATTTCAAGGATGAATTGTTGGTAACATAGACTGTGTGCAAATAAGTTAAACTGTGGAACACAAAGTGTATCTTGGATTGTTTTAAATTTTCCAGAATGTACAGCAAAAACGTTTTAAAATTAGTGAGACCAGTGATAAATCGGACGTTTTCTTATACTGCTACTCAGCGCAAATTAAACAGTGATCGTGCTTTTAATATAAACCATTATGACTGTATAGGTTTTGATCTGGACAATACTTTAGCCAGATACAGAATAGGTAATATGTTAGAGTTGGAATATAGAATACTATCAAATCATTTGGTAAAGGAGAAGAATTACCCAGGAAATCTACTGCTCAAACCTGTAGATCCAAACTTTTTTATAAAAGGTTTAATTGTAGATGATGAAAATGGAAATGTGATTCGAATAGGTCCAGATGGAACAATTCTACAAGCTACCCACGGTACCAAGTGGCTAAGTCAAGATGAGATTTTACAGTATTATCCTACAAGGCATTGGAAAGCAACTGACTTGTTTGTACAGGATCCTTTACAAACCTGGAATGGTCCATACTCAGAAAAAATGAGGACACTCTTAGATTACTTTGACATTGCAATTAGTTTGATATTCGCTAGAGCTGTTGATGCAGTAGATGCTTTGCATGGTCCAAGGAAAGTCTACAATATCTGGCCTGATCTTCTCAATGCTTTGATGCATATGTTTAATAGAGAACATTTTGAACTGGATGTAGGAGGATACTTTCCTGAATTAAAATACAACCCAGATCTTTATTATTATAAGTGTAGCCCTAATGTTCTTAACTGGCTTAAAGAATTACGGGATAGAGGTAAAAAGTTGTATCTAATAACAGGTGCTCATGCAGACTTTGCTAATCATACAGCAACATCTACACTGGGTCCAAACTGGAGGGACTACTTTGATATTGTAGTTTCTTATGCCAAAAAACCAGGCTTTTTTATGCAAGAACGTCATTTTCTAGCCTTAAATGAATCCTACAAGGAAACTGGACCAGTCATGCAGCTGGAAAATGGATCTATCTACACACATGGTAACTGGAAAAAGCTAAAAGAACATTTAACTAAATCTTCAAGTGCTCATACTCCAAAATTCCTTTACATTGGTGACAATTTGGTCCAGGATATTTATACACCCAATGTTCACTCCCATTGTGACACTGTGAATGTCTGTGAAGAACTAGAAGTAGAGAAATTGGATGAGTACACAGGCGAGAGTCACCCTGATGGACACTTTTTGTCTTCTAGTTTATGGGGGTCTTACTTTGAGATCAAGGATTCAAAGCAAAAGACTGTGTGGTATAATATTATGAAAAACCATTCGAAAATTTGTGTTCCTAGTATTGATTATTTAGCAAGGTTTCCCATCGATCATGATTTTAAATGTGCGATTTGTTAGGCATTTTAAACAATTGTAGGTAATAGTAGTATGATCCCTAAAGAGTTACCAGTATTGGACAAATATTGCCTTATGGTGCATGAATTGAAGGTTGATCTTTTGCATTCAATAAAAAAGTGTGGAGATATGGAAATTCATTGATTTTGGGTATTTGGAGGTTAGTTTATTAAGATTTATATAATTAATTGATAATATGTTATTTCTGCAAGGTATTTAAATATATTAAAATGTTTACCATGATATAGTATAAGGCTACACGTTAAATATGTGAAGTTCTTGTTCTTAACCTAGCAAGTGTAAAAACTGATCAATTTTTATCAAATATAAAAAATATACAGTAATAATTTTTACCTGAAAGGCTAACAAAATATGAAATTATCTTTATCATAATAAACCTAAGAAGTAAGAATCAAAAATATTAAAAAATTGCAAAAATGTAATTATATTTATGTTGAATCGATATGATCAATATGTTTGTTGTGACTAAAAATGGTTCTTAAAGGGTAGAATTTTCGGGTAATGATTAGTTTAGGGTACCCATCATAACAAAACTTGTATTTGATATTTAATAGGTTTGTTCCAACACGCAATTTTTGTATGGTCCGGAAACTGTCACGAAACTACTTGTATCGTTTTTAATGGGCATGTTCATCATTTGTATCGTCTGATGACGGTAATTTGGAAACTGATGTTGGAACGATTTTCTGACAATTAATATAATTTGGTGACAATCTACCTAAATAATTCTGGTTTTTCACCCTAGGTTCGGCTAATAGCTCAAAATCATCCTCACTACTATAATAATCAGAAAAATTACTAATTCCTTCGTCGTTAGTCATAATTATAAAGTTGTAAATAATAAAAAACAAATATATAAATAAATAACAAATCTATCAAAGCACCTGATAAAATCATTAACCTAACTTCTCCTTTTTTCTGAACAAATTTACAGTTTTAATATAAAATCTAAGTTAATCTAGGCCCAAACAAATTTAAAGAAGTAGAATAAAATCCTAGTGTGCAAGTCATCCCAACCAGTACATGCATTTGTCAGATTACTGAAATTATCGTCACAAAACTCTCACTGGGCGATCACAATATTTGTTGGAACGGTCGGAAGGACGATGAGATGAACGATCATATTTTTGTTGGAACATATTTTGTTTAGTGTGCAGGAGCGTAACCGTTACGTGACGGTTTTTCGTTGTGTTGGAACAAACCTAATGTAAGCTGAAATGGTGTCAGAATTGCCATATCTTCAGTTTTTTCATACTCTCACATACTATTATAGAAATGCATTGAAATTATATAAAAATTCATAGATTTTAATTAAATTAAAGATAATTAAATGCATATACAATAAAAACTTCTTCGGAAATTTACAATTTATGATTCACAAGTCTCATTGTAGGGGTTTGACCATTCGCATTTAATAATAAGTTTCTAATACACAAATATTGTAAATTATTTGACATCACTTTCCACATCTTAACTGCATTTAAAGTAACAGAGAATATTTATGAATGCTGTTTTATACTTATTCAAAACTTGTAGCGTCTCATAACACAAATTATAATTTTGTAAAAGGTACTTATATCAAAGAATATAGACGCTATTTTTGATGTTTTGATGTTTTTCCAGTAAATATATGTTTTAATCCAGTCCAGTCCAGTAAATAAATGTTGCTCAGTTTATCTATGTCAGACTTTTATTGATGCAAGATGTACTAGATTTTATGAAACACATTTCCAAGAAAACACGATTTGAATGTTTTTTTTTCTTTTGTCAACATACAGGAATCCTCGAAATTAAATTCATGTTTCAACGTTAATGCATGTTCTGTCAACGTTAATGCAATATATATATATATATATATATATATATATATATATATATATATATATATAAAATAAATTATTTATTTAATTAGATGAATAAATAAATTTGCATTATAGAGCTGTAACTAAAAAAATGGAAAAAAGAATAAGAATGAGAAATAAGTTGGTGTTATCTAAAAATCAATAATTGAAATATTTTTTTTGTTTATAGCTTTAACTATTTTGTAACTATTTTCCCATCTTTTCATTTTTTGTATTAAAAGAAATAATTCTGTTTGCCATTTCGTTTTCATCGCCCTCTTTTAATTGGAAAATATACACAAATTAATGCTGGACGTTCAATAATACACATTGTACATTAATCACTGACTAAAGCAGATTCCATTTATATACATTTGATACTTCTAAGGTTCTTAGACTATATATCTATTATCCTTATACTGTACTGGTACCGTTTTTAAGGCAATTAAAAAAATCACACAAAGCACTATAAAACATCGTTACCATTGGCTTCACAACTTTTAAAATTCATGCATCTTAACAGTATTTGTCCAAGTATAAATTCCTTTAGTTAAGTCAATGCCTAGTACCGTTGGGGTATATACCAACTTAAACGTTTCTTGAGTAAGTAGCACATAAGGTAAATTTGGCAGTAGTTTTTTTTCAATCAGATGTTAGATGAACCATATAATACTGTTAATCAGTATCTGTGTTTTGATTTTAATCAGTATTACTAAATCAAGAAACAAAACCAGTTTTTGGCTTTATATACTTAAAGGATAATTAGGAGTCAGCGATATTACATTTGTCAATGTTACAGTTAAAATGAGCGTAGTCAAAATAAGTAGATGTGATATATAAATAATTAATTTTAGAACGTTACCACATAATAGAGCTGTTTTAAGGTCACTACTTAAATATAGTGGCATTTAGACGTTGAATAAGCTTTTAAATTATTTAATTATGTAATACAGGTTTTTTCTGCAATCACTTAATAAAATAGAAGCCTTAGATGATCAAGGTATAGTATAGTAAATTACCTCTTCCTCTAGGTCGCTGGTACTCAGCGTCGTCTTGACATTTTGCATTCAACTTATCTTTTGTCTTCCTCTCTTCCGGCGACCTGGATGAATTCACTATTAATTTTTTTCCGATAGTCTATCAGTGTCTTAATGTACTCAGTGTTTTTCTATATCCTCAATGACTGAAGCATCTATCCCCATTATTTTGTTTACTTCTTCGTTTCCTGTCGACCTTCTTAGCAAGTATATCTTAATCGCCTCCAGTTTCCTTTGATGGTTTAGTTTCCAAGTTTCACGTCCACATAATAGAATACTTTTTGAGCGACAAAAAAAAAGGATAATATCAAGAATGACTATAATAGGGGAAATTTACGAATGACATTAACACTGATGCCAACATAAAAAACATCCTTAAAATGGTTAGAGCATGGTCAACTCCGAAATAATAATCAGCCATTACGAAGAATTGCTAAGCTGTAGTGTTACTGAAACTAGAAGAAGACCTGATGGGGAATGCTGAGGCAGAATATGTCTGTGATGAACGTATCAAACTATAAATAAAGCAAAATAATCTGAAGAATTACATGACCAAGGATGGAGATATGAAGATGAAGAATGAAGAATGATGAACAAGGATAGACTGAGGATGGCTGTAGATGAATGGGCTGGTGGAGTAACAGTGACTGGTAGGAAAATCTCCAATTTAAGATTTGCTGATGACACTACACTTATAGCATCAAATGTTCAAGAAATGTTTAATCTCCTGCGAAGAGTTGAGTACGAAAGCGATAGAGTTGGTCTGAAAATCAATAAAGCTAAGACAAAAATAATGGTGGTCGACAGATTCCACACTACTCAACTGACTAGAACATATTACAGGAATACCAGATAGTGGACAGTTTTGTCTATCTAGGGTCTAGTATAACTAACGATGGTAACTGTGAAGCAGAAGTTCGGAGACTTATTGGTATGGTAAAAAATGTGATGAGTCGCCTAACTTAAGTTTGGAAAGGCAGATCTATCTCTCAAAATATCAAGATGAGACTTGTGAATGCCATTGTATTCTCAATATTTCTATACAGGGCAGAGACTTGGACTCTTCACGGAGGCGATCGCCAAAAAATTGATGCTTTTGAGATGTGGTGCTGGAGAAGAATGCTGCACATACCGTGGACAGCTCATAGGACAAACATTTCCATTCTAAACCAGCTCGAGATTAAAAAAGGCTGTCGACAATATGTCTGCAACGTATTCTGCAATTTTTCGGTCACGTGGTTCGCAGATGTGATAATAATTTGGAGAGATTAATTGTTTCTGGAAACGTTTCGGGGATAAGATCAAAAGGGCGATTACCAACAGCAGTCATTTTCTTAGAAGATGAGGATAGTTCACAAAGACTCTTTTATCGTCGAACAAACAAATTCAACAGGAAAATATCTGTAAAGAAGACAAAGGCCCTCACAGTATGTAGAGAACCTGAAATATGTAAACTTGCAATTTACAATTAGAGCGTATAGCAAATAGTGGCATTTAAATATCTGGGCCTAAATATAACGAATAACAGAATTCTAAAAGACGAAGTAAGGGCCCAAACAATAAAGGCATCACAAATATCGGGATATATTAAAGACATATTTTACAGAAATAAATATATATGTACCAGGAATAAAGTAACAATCTATAAGGTATGCGTAACGGAAATGCGAACATTAACAGCAATATTAGGATATACTCTATATGACCGTAAAAGTAATAAGAAGTAAGAAAGATAATGTCATATTTAAGACGTATTTCGATGGGAAAGAAACACAAGAGAATGCAGAGACCATGGTAGTAGAATGCCAGATCATCGGTTAGCCAAAATTGCCAATGAAAAACGCCCAAATACACCCCGACAGCCTGGACGATCACCTACGAGATACGAAAGTTGGTCTTCGTCGTTTCAACTGCTACTGCTGAACCATTGAAGAAAATACAGGACGTAGTCCTAACGTAAGAAGAAGAAACCAGAAGCGTGTTTGTATTAGATTTTTTAGCACACAAACAACAAAATAAAGGTCCTTAGAAATGACAAAGATACAACACTGCGACTCCAGACAACGTTTCTTTTGATTTTATTTTCATTAATATTCAAAATAGT